TTGTAGAGCTTAAATTATTATCTAAATGTCTATTTGACAGGCATCAGCCGCTCTCACCACGTAAAATCCGCAAGCAGCTCGAGCAAACATGGTAGATATTGAAGCTGGGTTATAAAGTGCGCCTTTTAAAAATCAGGTCACAGGGATACGCAAATAGGAAAGCAGTGATCAATTATTTTTCGTCGGATTGGCTATCACGCAAGTTACTTGGCATAGATCGCAAAATACGATAAACCAGAAAATATAGGCAGAATGACTACTGCATAGTATGGCAAAGCCATGAGAATATTTAAATAAAGGAAGCGCTTCCAATTATCAGGTTGAATCTTAGCAGTGGATTTCACTAAAACTAGCGATTAAGCTGATCTCTTTAGCTCTAAGGCAAGGTGAAAACGCAAATTGGTGTTTTGGATGGAAACAACTTTTGCAAATAGTTAGTTGATGAAGTGTGCTTTCTTTAAGATCTCCTACTGCTCAGTCGGATTGAGGATAAATCGGTCGTATTGAGTCGATTTAATTAACGCGAATTTAAGTAAGGTTTATATTCCTTGCCGATGAGTGTGGCAACCAAATCTAAAACTTTCTTTTAATCTCTTTCATTTGGAAGGTTCAATTAGTATTTTCAGTGATAAAAAGTCACTTTTATACAGACATGTAGATCTTCACCTTGGAGAACTAAAAGTCGTTGCGAATCGGTTAAGAGTTTTACCATTAGGGCTACAGAACATTGGGAAGAGAGCTGCATTGTCAAATGGAACACCTTCCAGCTCATTACAAAATCTCCGACTAGTCTTCGCAATTAAGGAGGTGACATAAAGCACCAGCCCGAATGTTGTCTCGAAACCCAGTATTTTTGAATGTGCTTCAAACAAAATGAACAAAGTTGAAATTTTCAAGATTTCTTACCTCCCACTGTCATTCCTATCCTTATTCCCTTTAGTGTACATTGTTCCCTCCCCTGCTAGATGCTACTAAGTCAAAAAGATTGAGCACCTTTCTGCACTAGTTGCTGCCTTCATTTATTCCCTTTGCGAGAAGACTTGAACCAACCAGACTGTGTTCGACATCACGCAATGCAAAACAACAATCCCCATTTGCCTGTATTCGGTCGCAATGTTGCATGTCGCGTCTCTCACCCACCCACTCACTCATATACACAGACTTTCTACATCATTTATGCCAAACATAAATGCGCGAGGAAGGATTAGTCTTCGTTTGGTGTGAATTACGACGACTTGCTGCCTCCTAGCCCTCGATTGTCTCCTCTTCATTCCCTTCCTTCCCTTCCCTTTTATCTGCTTCCTATGATTTTGACGCTTTCCCTCCTACGCTGTAGTTATTTGTCGTTAGCCCATTATTTTCTTCCTCATTCTCCGCAACGCATATTCGGAAGGGTCTTTCTCGAGGTCTATTTTGATTAGGTTGCCGTAGGGAAGAGGATATTATGTACCATGTCTGAAGCATTGCATGTTTGTTAAAGACGAGTGGATACAAAGGTACTTCATTCCTTCTTATGTCGAATGGCCTGGAGGCGCACAAAATTTTATTTCCAAACTGACCCCTTTACTTCCGCCTCAACAAACGCATACGGCAAAACCATTGCATAAGGAGTGTCTTCCCAGTTGTTAATTATCTAAAAGCACCTAAAGGCCTTGCTAAAACTCAAAGGTGAGGCCCTATCTTGTAACACAGTTAGTCCTAACGCAAATCAGGTCGGCACTCTATCTACTTAAATATTGCTGCAAGACTAGCTTCTTTACAAGGTGGAGAGGAAGTAGCTCTGAGCATTTTCCTCATGCAGAAGCCCAATACGAACTACCGCACCAATAGCTTTGGTTGTAGACATTTTAATGCCTGCAATAATTTTCTACTAGGTGAAGATGTAAAGACTTCCTTTCTGTCGAGTCTCCACAAGGCAACTTTACAACCCAGTGATCATCTTCGATTGTGGTAAACGAAACGATTGAGAGCTGTACGACACGTTTGTGTAAGATCGTGGAGTGCTTAAAGAGTGAAACAATAAAAGCGGTAGTCAGAACAGGTGCAAGGCAAATGTTTGCCCTTAAGAAGTGCAGACTGGGTGAAGGTTGTGGTCAAGTGAAGGCAGCATTAAATATACGCTTGCAAGACGAGGAACAGGCAATCTCCATGCACCCCAGTTCTTCTCTAATGAACCTCTCTCTTTCCCATCGGTATTTGCGTTGGTTTGTGGTGCCTGCAAAGAAGAAGATTTGCTGTAGGTGCTCTGTCAAGAATACGCCTTCTTGGTCGGTGCGGCACATTTGAAATCGTAAAGGACCAGTGCGGGAACCCGTCTTTTCGTGGATGTGCTTGATCAGTTTCTTTATTTAAAAAATAAATGTGGTTAAAGTGACAGGTACAAAACAATGCGAATTTAAAAGTAACCATGAACTTCTAATATTGTTCTCCTTTACCTCAGGTAAGCATATCTTCTTAGATACAATGTCTCCTTTCATTTTAAAGATGAGCATGAGATCCTTCTTATCGGCACCGAAAAGTGAAAATAATCTTGAAGAATAGCTATGTAGCCGTCCATTATTGATGCCTTAGTCTACAAATGACCAAGAAGTGTCTTTGTACAAACAAAGAAATACAAAATGAAGTCGACCTTTTATAGGATTGTTATTAACCCTTAGTACTCTGCTAATCATGGCCGTACCATTTTGTTCGTTTTACTGTTCCTTAAGATACCTGGACGAGGATTTTGACAAAGTGAACAGACAGCACGCTCCCCCCACCACTTATCCTCACGAACGGACTCCAGATAGCTGAATAACTGAGGCAAGGAATGAAGTCATAAATGTCCCCACAATACAAATCAACTTCCTCCGATATTTCTCAATAGTTTCGCAGAAAACCAGCAAAATTGTGGGGACTGTTGCAATAATTGGCATCAAAAATGTAAAAAGAATAAACTTGCCAGGGATATGAAAGTTACTTTGCAGCTTATTAGAATTCTCACAATCATTGGAAACCTGTTGATACGGAACGTAAAGGAAAAATTACAATGGAGAAGTAAGTGACAGGCGATTCCCTTTAAAAGACCGCTCAACGATGCCACATCCCGTTTCCAGATCCCAATTATCTCGTATGAGAAGACTAATTAGACGCAGATTGAAGCGAGATCCTTCTAAACGTGAAATCTTATTTCCTTAACTATGGAAAAAGACTCTAAATTTGACTTATTTTTGGGCAAAGTAAGTTGCTGGAATCTGCTATTAAACATACACTTATTAACAATTAAACCTAATAATTTAAATTTGTTCTTCTTGGTGCTGGTCTTAAGGCTGATACCGCCTTATTGCCATCGTGAATGGCGGATTGCGCAACCCAAAGTCTCTTTGACACGCAGTAAATTCAAGCCTAATTACAACATCCTCCATTGGAGCATTGAGCATGAGGGCACAGTACTTGATGGCACAAAATGTAGGCAGGAGATATGCTTGATTAGTGTCCAGGATTCAAATGGTGGGAGACGTTTAGCTAAGTAGTTTTGTAAATTTTGGTTGCACAAGGAGCTGACTTTATGCGACCACAACTTGAAATTCAAGCCCTTACACGGTATCGAATGAGTTGACCTGATGGCGATAGACACCTTCCTGAATGATGCAAAGGATAGATTCAATTAAAAATAAATGCAACCCTCCTTCAGTGTTTTTTTATTATGATACTTGTTGGTAGGTGATAGGTCCGACCTCCACTTCAATTTTTGTAAAACACATTTTAATTTATGACGTCGGTGAAAATGGAAGATTGAAACTGAAGTGCCGAAACCATTAAATTTTTCCTCGATAAGTTCCTCAGAAATTCATTGCATAAACTTCTGTTTAGCAGGGAAAATGACTGGTTAATACTGGGTGAGAAGACTGGAACTCAGAGCTACTGATTACAGCTGCCTTTCATTTATTCACTTTGTTATTGGCCAAACAGATCTTTTGACCCAGAAAATAGCTCTCTGCCTTTATATCCTTAAAAAAGCATATTCCTTTTTGCGATAGTACCTCAGTGTCTCTTGGGCTGTCATTGTTCTACGCAACGAACCCTTTGTAGTAGTCATCTCCCAGCCAATTGGCTTCGGTACCAAATATTGCGCTTTACCAACACAATATGTCTGCTATAGTTTTGAGCTAATTAAAACACAACCTCAAATCTTCTGGATGAGATTAAGGCAAAATGAATGAGCAGGCGAATGCCCAAGTCCAGAGCAAACACCTTAATCCACAAAATAAAAATTATAATACTTCTTAAAGAGTCACAAAAGTGTGTTAGGACGAAAATATTAAAATTAAAATGGCGCGCCATTGTGTTCTTAGAGGCATAAAGGTGCTCTGAAACTAAAACTCAGTGTTGTTTCATGATGCCAACTTTATGGAGAAAGTAAATCAAAATTTAGAAGCAGTAGCTTTTTGGATTATAAATAATGCTGGTTGCTCAATTAAGTTGCCTTTAGAGCAAAACTTGCTTTTAACCGACTCTCGTTTTGCTTCTCGGGTACCGATGCTTTGCGTGTCTTGAAAAGATTACTGCCATCTTTGCTGTGCTGATACTTTTCGGCCGCTTTATCAAATGTCTGAATCCCTTTGCAAACGCAACTCCTTGGTAGGATACCTAACTTTCGATTTTGATTAAGCAGTAGAGCGAGGTGTTGCTTCAACATATCTCAAAGTCATACAGGTATTTTTACAGGCTCGATTGTAAGGTAGCAGAGCGTGCAAGAAAATCGAGGTGTTGGACTTTTATGGTAGTCCCCAAGATTGACAAAATGGAGTGTAATAACAGGCGAAGGATTTTGAGTGAGTTTCCTATTTTGTCCTAAAGTCTTTTTTACAGTGCATGGGATTGCAATAGCAAAACAACAGGGAATATAGTAAAAGGGCTTACCAATGTGCTACAGGGTATGCATGCTGTAGGTGATACTGCTAACAACATCAACTTGCAATGCTTTGCTATTGCAACTCCAAAACTGACTTTGAAGTCTTCTAAGGTACAAGATTACTTAGCTGATGATGTGCTGTTAAATAAGACCAGAAAAGAAGACTTGCCTCAAGTATGTGCCACTCCGATTTCCAGTGCAACGTTGATCTTGGAATGAAGGTGAATGTGAAGTTAATTAGACGATTGGCGAGACTGCGCCAATCCTCAGAGCTACAGACGCGCATCAGGTGAGCGAAGGTGATGTGTGCTATGAGCCGACCATCCGATGACTCAGTAGGATTTAGTGAGCCTGCGCCAACCAACTTTGCGCATCGGTTGCCTCCGGTGAAGTTGACACGCATGGAAAGATTTAAGCCGTGCTGAGCCTCCTTACTCTCCTCGTTGCGCACTATGTGCATCAGGGCCTCTAGCAGTGTACGAATGAACTAAAAGATGAAATCTGGTAAAGCCAAGCATTGAGAAACAGGCATGTTATCATTTCTTAAAGGTGGTTTTACGGTCTGCTTTTGTTCATTTGTACCTCCTCGGTCGCGTATGCGGTGTTACTTGAACCTGCACTCTGATCTGCATAAGCTCTACAACAACGTTTGATCCTTAAACATTTGCTCCCTAGGAGCTAGAGCTTTATCCTCACTCTCGTCAAATTCAACAAACTGCGATTTCTTAAAAGCCAGTCGGGTTCCTTTAGCAAATATGATGTTATGATTTCCAGGCAATTTTTCGTGAGTTTATGCATGTTTCAAAATTGTTAATGTTATGGCACGAGAATTCATAATCCTTTCATTCATTATATTCAGCTCATTGTATTTATTTTGGTCAAAAAAAGGAGCAACATTTGATAAAAGCATATCAAAAACTGCATGATCCTACCTTTACTGAGGTAATGGCTATCTTTTCAATTTTTTATAACCTAGGCAAAAAAGGTGAACTAAAGTGCTTGCAGTATTGCATTGCGCGAATCCTAAGCTTAGTGGACTAATAAATATCCCCAAATCTTCTCATTTTAAAAATGGCGTTTAAGTTGAATATCCTCAACTGCCTCAAGCTTTTCAACAATAGCCAAAGCATCAAAAATCAGGACAGAAAAAGCTATGTGAGCCTGTGAAATTGGCCAAATTCTTTAATCAAGCAACTACCTTTAATTTCCGTTCTAACGGGTAGCTTTGTCTTCAAAAATATGTGACTAGATCATAACGGTCTCTGAAGTTGGAGCTCAAAGCGTTCGTTCACCCATACGTGGAGCTTTCAACGTTAATAAAGTGTGAAAAGGAAGTTGGATAAAAGGACCGAATAAAAGATTGGAGGTGAGAGACTGTACCTTTCTCTGATAATCGCTGTCACAAGTTCCGTTCTCTTTCAAGTATTTTTGAATAGACACTTTTTCGTCGGACACATGGTAAATGGACTATAACTTCTTTTTCTTGTCTGCAAATGTATCTATTCACATGAAGTTCTACCACTTACTTTTCCCACATAACTTCCACCTGGTGAACTAATTTCTTGACAAGTTCACCTCTAACACTTTCTGACTTCATAGCACTAGATGATATCAGCAAACAGGACACATCAGCCACTCGGGGATTTACTACTAGGAAGAAATGGAAAATTGGAAGTTTCAAAAGGAAGAGTTGCTCTGCTATTGCATGAGTTAAGGGTCTCACCCAACACCAGCCATCCCGACACCTCTCTACTGGTGTTTCTGAGTCACGTATGTGACCAACTTAAGACTGCCTTCAAACAAAGGCATCTTGGTTTCCTACCAGATGGACTCAACCGCTTCCTTGTGACACACGTAAGGTTGCAAGCAAGTGGTAGAGTTTACAATGCAGAGTATCATGTCAATGAAGATTGGTATGCCCATACTTCACACTGCTTACCCACAACCATTTCTCATGAAAGCAAGCCATAGCTTCCCCCTGCAAAGCAAAAATCGGCGTTTATTTTTTCGCCTTCGTCTGGATTTTGAATGGCACAGGGCACCAAATCCTGCCTAGCTGATCCTCAGGTCTTACAGATGCATTACCCCTTTGGTGCAAGAAGTTCATTTTCTCCCTTTTGGGGAGGAACATGCATTAAAGTACTTCCCCCATTTGCGGCCCACATCACAGAAATATTTGCGTGACATTAATTTCTTTGAAAAGTACATTCGATGACTAAAATCATTTTTTTATATCCACAATCAAAACATCTTCTAAGAGAACCTGAGCCAAGAAGGATCAAACTTTATCTATTGATAATATCACCTTGAAGAATGGATCCATGGTGCAGGAAGTCTCAATGGCAAATCGAATCATCCGAAGGGGCGAAGGTGGTGCGGCCAGGCAGGTCATGGTCCACGGTGTAAATTGGGACTGTAGACTGACATTTCGCAGCTTCGACTTCAGCACTCGGTATGACCGACCCAAAAGGTGGGGAATCCGTTCCGGAAAGGATACTATTTCGCGAGGGTCAGAACCAGTAAATGGATCGATGATGTGGAATCGGTGGCGAGGTGCGCTGTCCAGATCCTCTGAGTGGATTATGGGTAGACGTTTAGTCGAGCGCACGACTACCTCGTCTTGGAAAGGCACCCAATCTTTTTGGAGGCTCTCTGCGGTTTGCATGTGATTGTATGGAATGTAGATAAGCTCGGTGATATCATTATGACGGAAAGAGTATTTGAGAGACTCATGGGTGATGATTTCACACCAGGTTTGAAAACTGTATTCCACCTAAAATGCAAAAATCACCTTATACAACTCGTCCATTTTGTGGTGGGTTTATTTTGATAGGCAGCTAAAACTGATCGCTCACTTCATTTCAAATTGAAATAAAGAGATTAATGTTTGCACCTTACATAGCGATACTAGGCTCAGCTTCCAGATCTAAGATTTCCATATACGGCAGTTTGATCCCATTTTTTAGTCAATGCGGTGCGATCGTCCACCTTATGAGTAGTTTTTTTTATTTTTTAAAATTAGAGAGCCGAGTTTGAACCCTTAATAGATAGCCTCATCTTTG